CGGGATTATAGTATTATTTTTATCCCTGGACATAAGAATACAAAGTTATCACTGGGCATAAGAATACAAAGTTAAGAGGTAGACAACTCATAGTTTGTGTATTTATGGCTCGTTTGGTACGAGAGACAAGAGATAATTAATAATAGAATTAAATTTAAGATAAGTTTATTCTGTATTTGATTGGGATAAAATCGCGATATAATTCCCAGAATTAATTATTCCGAAATTATAATATTATTTTTATCCCTATGAAAGAATGGTATAACAATCCCGAAATAATTAATTTCGGGATAATTAATCCTAGAATTACTTATGCCAACCGACGATTATAGGTGATAAAGAAATACTCCTCTCGCCGTGTCATATATTTGACATCATTCGATAATAGTTTTTAAGACGGAGAAAGTATGATCTGTTTTTTATATAGTATTTAAATATTTAAATTTTATTTCAAAAAAATTAAAAAATATATATTTAAATTTACATGAAAATTAAGACATTTGACACTCCAAATCAAAAGGACGCCGCATACATTCAAACAAAGGGAATACTTCAATATTTTCATGTCCAGAACCAGAACAACATACTCTTTCTAAAAATCCACTTCATTCTCTCTTTTTATATTTGTGTTATCACAAATTAAGGTTTTATTATGTAGAAGTCCAAATTAGGATACTGCTATATCTTTTTTTTTTAAATAGTAGAAATGACACCATTTAGCCGCTCTAAAGAGTTGCTATTTAGGAATTAGCTAATACTTTCTGAATTTTACTTTTTCAGTTCAATTTTTCAGGATAAAAGTCTCCTGAATTGTCCTGAAGTTAAGATTTTTAATTTAAAATTTCAGAACAAAATAAACGCTGGCTAATTTCTAAATAGCATCCCTGAGAATGGTTATATGTGCCCTTGCCTTTTTTTTTCCTTGACCATAGGTACTGTACTACAGAAAAAGTTTTGGTAATAATATAATAATGCCTATTATCTGAGGGTGTAGATATATATATGGTGAAAGCGTGCAAGTGCAATTATTAACATTTATCTTTGATTAATGCTGTACAATAAAAAGGTAAGAACTTTATACCTCACCAAAGTACTCGACCAAAAATTCATAGGCAAATTAATTTTGCGGTTTATCTTGAAAAATGATTGAGAAGATCCTTTTAGATGCTCACAAAAGGCAAATCTGATTTATATTCTTAATCTCTGCAAGTAATGTAGGGAGTATTTATTAGTATTGTGCTTAAACTTTTATTTGGGATTTTTCGTTATTATAATGGGTCGTCTGATAGGGAATAAGTTATCCCAAAATTATAATAAAATAATAACGACATTATGCAGTAAAGAGAAATACGTTGTCCCATAATTGTAGATGGGATTATAGTATGAGAATTAAATAAGAAGGAATAGATGTGGGGTCCAGTAGTTAATTTAATACAGTGTAATTAGGTACAATTAGTTGATATAATTAGTTAGTTAATCAGTTGTTATAAATAAGAGTTAGTTAACATGTGTACAGTAGACTTCTTAAGAATGAGTTTTGGACATTTGTCTAATATAAAGAAAATAGAGCTTCTTCTTCTCCACTGACCTCCTTTCCTCTTCTGCCATGTCTGATCTATTTAACATGGTATCAGAGCTTCCAGGTGAGATCAACTAGCTCAGTATCATCAGGAGAGGAATCTCACTTGTTAATTGTTTCTTTTTTACTCCGTTTCTTCGCCAGTCCTGGCAAATTTCCTGCAATTAGGGCTTGATTGATCAGTGTCAATTTCTGGTGTAATTGAGTGAGCCGTGACCTAAATCAACTCAATTAGTGTGGTGCGATTCAATCGATATCGTTTACAATGGCGAATGACGACGGAATCTCCACTTCCTCAGCTCCTCCGGTTGCGACTGCAACTCAGATATTGAATGCTCCAGATCTGGTACATCACAATCATCCTCTGTATATTCATCCTTCAGATATACAAGGTTCTGTTCTTATCTCAATTGAACTTCAAGGTTCTGAAAATTATTCAATTTGGAGTCGGTCAATGAAGATCGTTTTGCATGGTAAAAACAAACTAGGTTTTTTTTTAGGAACATGTAAAATAGAAATGTATGATCCTAGTCTGCATGAACTCTGGAACAGATGTAATGCCATTATTTTGGCTTGGATAATGAACACAGTATCTCATAGTTTGATTAGTATTGTGATTTATGCTTTTGATGCACATAAGGTGTAGGAAGACCTTAAAAGAGAGGTTTGATAAAGTAAATGCCTCCAGAGCTTGTTATTTGCACAAGGAAATTGGTGCACTTACTTAGAGCATATCATCTGTGTTTGTGTATTTCTCGAAGCTTAGAGAACTATGGGATGAGTACGAGACACTTGCTCCTCCTCCTTCATGTGGATGCCCAGAGTCTGTTAAATATGCAGAGCATTATTAGTTGCAAAAGTTATATAAGTTTTTAACTGGTCTTAATGAATCCTATGAGAATGCAAAGGATCAAATTCTTATGACAAGGCCATTACCAAATATAAACCAAGCATATGCTATGATAGTGAATGTAGAAAGTCAAAGAAAGAATGACAGCTGTGGGATCAATGCTAGTGTTGGTATTGATGGCAATGATGCTACTGCACTTCTAAGCAGTAGAGAAAATAACAATGGTAACAACACTGGTGGTGGTAACACCAGTTACAAAACTAGGAACAATTACAACTAAGGAAGGTTTGCACTTCAGTGTGACTATTGCAAGCTCAAAGGTCACACAAGGGACAACTGCTACAAGTTGCATGGATATCCACCTGATTTCAAATACAGGAAGAAAAGAGGCACTCCAAATACTTATGCTAACAATGTGTGTAGTGTAGGAAATCAGGGGACTAAAACTCAAGGCTCATCCCAGCAAGCAGCACCTATCTCTAATACATCACCACCAGCTCCAGTTCAGTTCTTTACTTCAGAACAATACAATCAAATTCTGTAAATGTTGAACAAATGAAAGGAAGGAGAGCCTATGGATAATGCAGCTCAGATGGGAACAACATATATTCCTACTGCCCTAATATCTAGTCTAGTTGTTCATAACTGGATAGTAGACACATGGGCGACAAACCATATGGTACATCAGCTAAGTTTGCTTCACAAATTCAAAGAACTATCACAAATGAGTAAGAATAAGGTGCATTTACCTACTGGAGATCAAGTTACTATCAATAAGACATGAGAGTCTCATATATTTTAGGACAAGACAATTTGAGAAGCACTATATATACCTGAATTCAAATACAACCTATTATCAGTATCAAAGATCACCAAGGAGTTACAATGTTGTGCAACATTCTTTCCTGATTTTTGTTTATTTCAGGAACTCTCAAGTGGGAAGGTGATAGGGATTGGTAGAGAAGAGGATGGCCTTTACATTCTGAGGATCAGAGGAAACTCAAGTCCACAGCATGTCTCTGATAACAAGAATGTCACCAATCAGTCATCTGTAAATACCATTTCCAGTTTAACTAGTGACAATGAAGATAGTTCCAAGAATAAGACTAAGGATGATGATATATCTATTTGGCATAGAAGACTAGGGAATGCTCCTTTAAGAGTGTTGAAAAACATAGAAGACTTGTGTAACTCTCAGCTGAAGAATCACATATGTTCTGTATGTCTTATTACTAAATAAGCAAGATTGCCCTTTTTTCTAAGCACTACTTGTTCTGTTATTCATTTTGACCTTGTGCATGCTGATGTATGTGGTCCTTATAAAGTTTTCACTCATAATGGTAAGAGATATTTTTTGACTCTATTAGATGATTTCTATAGATATACATGGCTCTTCCTAATGCCTACTAAAGCAGATTCTATTATGGTGTTAAGGAACTTCCTAATATATGTCAAAACTCAATTTGCCTGTGGAGTGAAATGTCTTAGAACAGATAATAGTTCAGAATTCTTCAATGATCAAGTGAACAATTTGCTAAAGGAGTATGGTATTATACACCAAAGCTCTTGTGTATATACACCACAATAAAATAGTGTTGTGGAAAGAAGACATAGATATATTCTAGCCATGGCAAGAGCTTTAAGGTTTCAGGAATTTGTACCTTTAAGATTTTGGGGAGAATGTATGTACACAACTGTATACTTACTCAATAGATTGCCCACTGTGTTGTTGAAAGGTCAGTCACCTTTCCAGAAGTTGTTTCACAGAGCTCCTTCACTACAACATCTCAGGGTATTTGGTAGTCTGTGCTATGCTACCACTGTAAAGAAGGGTGATAAGTTCAGTCCAAGAAAAATTCCAACTGTTCATCTTGGATATTCCACTACTCAGAAGGGTTATTATCTCTATGATCTAACCTCCAAGGAGTTCTTTGTTAGTAGAGACACTGTATTTCAAGAAGACATTTTTCCCTTCTAGAATATGAGCACTAGTCCTTCTCCTATGTTCCCAGTACTGCAACTGGTTGAACCTGATCCACCTACTGTATCTGCTCCATTGCATTCACCTTCAAACTCAACTCCTGATACTAATACCTCCAAGCTTTCCCTATTTCCTATTAGCAGAGATCCTTCTCCACAACCAGTACACCTCAATAGATCTTCAAGGGAATCTAAACCACCTGTCTGGATGGGAGATTATGTTGTCCAACAGAAGTCCTCTTGTCTATATCCACTATCCAACTATGTGGTGTGTGATCACCTCACTCCTGCCTACATGTCTTCATTAGGTGCTTATTCAGCAATTGCAGAACCCAAGACTTATGCAGAAGCCAGTACCAATCCACTATGGGTGGCTGCTATGAAGTCTGAAATCTCACTCTTGAGCGCAATAATACTCGGACAATTATAGACCTTCCTCCAGACAAGCTTCCTATAGGATGCAAGTGGGTGTTTAAGGTCAAGTACAAATCCACATGAGAGGTAGAGAGATATAAAGCAAGACTTGTAGCCAAAGGCTACAACCAGCAAGAAGGTTTGGACTATACTGAAGCCTTCTCACATGTAGCTAAGATGGTCACAATGAGGTCTGTAGTGGCTCTTGCTGCTGCTTCATACTGGTTTGTTTTTCAAATGGATGTTCATAATGCATTTCTGTAGGGTGATCTTTATGAAGAAGTTTATATGTAAATTCCTGATGGATTTTCAAGCCAGGGGGAGTATTATAAGGTCTGCAAGTTGAATAAATCTTTGTATGGACTGAAACAAATCCCTAGATAATGGAACTTAAAATTGACAGAAGCATTGACAGATCTAGGATTTGTACGATCACACTATGACTATTCTTTGTTCACACACAGGAAGGGAGAAAATTTAGTGATTGTGCTTGTTTATGTAGATGATTTGTTAGTTACTGGCAATAATCTAAATCTGATTGAGAAGGCTAGAAAGGACCTGCGGAGCAGGGTTAAGATGAAAGACTTAGGGGAACTGAAGTACTTCCTTGGCATAGAGTTTTCAAGATCAGAGAAAGGCATCCATATGTGCCAAAGGAAGTATGCCCTTGAGTTGTTATCTGAGACTGGCCTATCAGGAGGAAAACCAACACTCACTCCACGGGAATTCAATCACAAACTTACCTCTATAGAATTTGATAAGGTGTTCAACAAGGAGAACTTGTCCGATGATAGGCTACTTGAAGACATAAGTGGTTATCAAAGAATAGTGGGAATATTGTTGTATTTGACTATGACTAGACCTGATATAGCCTTTGTGGTACAGGTTCTGAGTCAATTCATGCATGCTCCTAAGCAATCACATCTAGATA